ACAATCTTGGCCTACCTGGGGCACCACCACATGTTTTTTACATCGCCGTCCTGCTTCTCCCGCAGTATCGTCCGCTCCGGCGACTCCATCTACGTCCGCGTCGGCGACCACGACCTCACGCGCAAGTACGGGTCGGCGGGCGCGCAGACGCTGCGCGTCGCCACCACGTACATCCACCACAACCACAACTCGCAGACGCTGGACCACGACGTGGCGCTGCTCAAGCTGCACGGCCAGGCCGAGCTCGGCGGCGGCGTGTGCCTGGTGTGCCTGCCCGCGCGAGGCGTCGGACAGACCGCGGGCAAGCGGTGCACCGTCACGGGCTACGGCTACATGGGCGAGGGTGAGTGGAGTGGGATTTTATTTGAAAATCCGGGAAAAAATTGATAACGTTGCCAGGAAAATTTTTGAAAAAATTAAAAAATATCCGGAAAAACTGGGTAAAGATAAAACTACTGGGCAAAAATTATGATATTTTTTTAAAAAAAACTTCTTGAACAGTTATTTTTTTTTTTTGGGGGGGGGGGGGGGGGTTGATGGAGATTAAAATTTGTGCTACTGCTGACACACTCTGCTTTTTCCCCCACACACAGCTGGCCCTATCCCCCTGCGTGTACGCGAGGCCGAGATCCCCATCGTGAGCGACGCCGAGTGCATACGCAAGATCAACGCCGTGACCGAGAAGATCTTCATCCTGCCCGCCAGCAGCTTCTGCGCGGGCGGCGAGGCGGGCAGCGACGCGTGCCAGGTGAGTACGATGGGTTGCCTGCCCTCCGGGCGGAGCCGGCCAGCCGCCGCCGGCGCGCCGCTCCCGTGTTGCAGCGCAGCGTTGATGACGGTGTTGCGTGTTGTGTTCTCGCAGGGTGACGGCGGCGGACCTCTGGTTTGCCAGGATGACGGCTTCTTCGAGCTGGCCGGCCTGGTGTCGTGGGGCTTCGGCTGCGGCCGCGTAGACGTCCCGGGCGTATACGTCAAGGTGTCCTCCTTCATCGGCTGGATCAACCAGATTATCAGCGTCAACAATCTGTAGAGGGGTATTCACCCCTCATGAGCGTTTAGACGGTCACAAAATCAACTTTAGTTTCTCGCGAGTGTGTTCGCCTGGCGTGCTGTCGACGTTCGCTCTGAGGAGCTGGAAGCAGATGGAAGACATGTGATAGAACAAGTGACTTCCTGCGGCCGGCCCCGCCTCCCCGACCCGAGGTGGGCCGATCGTTGGTGATTTGTGCCGTTGGATTCCGATTCTTTATACCAGACGTCGTGGCACCTAGCTAACGATACGCGGAAGACTTTTAGATATTTTCGACCGTTATGGTCTTATTTAGGGAGCGTTTCGAAATTCGTTTGGACGCCTCCCTAAAAGGGAACCAGAATGTGTTCAAACTTTGAACCTTGCCGTGCTCAGCATGCACAGGAATATGGGTGGAACCTAAAGCTTTACTTTCCGAGAGTCATAATTTGTTTATTACTTGATGACTGAAAACACAGAGAACGTCCCGACAACGAGAAGTGGAGCGCGTGAAGTTTTCATAAAACTGTTTAAGTGTCGTGTGGTTAATGCGCGCAGATATTTAAATTCCTTTTCTTGCTAAACCGAATTTGATTCGGTTAATTTTCAAGTGGTGCATCTAACTGGTACCAAGGTTGTGGCAAAGTGTACCTTTTCTTTACAAAAAAATTAATTAATTCAATGAATTCAATTCAATCCACATATTTGGGCGCACTGCTCAATAATTGAAGTTTTTGTCTGAATAGTTATCTGTTATCTAAACCGAGCAGCAGCTCCCCTGTGTAAACAAAAGGCTGCTTTACACTGTGTGTGTGTGTGTGTGTGTGTGTATGTGTGTTGTGTGTGTGTGCGCGCGCGCCTTAGAGTGAAAAAATGTTCTTGTGTGACTTTTACGAGAGTATGATTCGAAACGGGAGGGTTTGGTGGGTGTTAGGGTGGGTCGGTGCCATCTAGCGCGCCTTTGTGTGAAAGAGTGTGAGTGTGTGAATGTGTGTGAGTGCGCGCGCGACTGTGTCTGAGTGTGAGTTGCATCATTCCCACAATAACACAGAAAACTCACTATGGAGTCAGTTTTAGTTTTTGACTGTATATGAGGGTCACGGTGAGGAATTTTCTGCCCAAATTTTGATCAACCGGTCGAAATTTAGGCAGAAAGCCACTCGCCATGAAAGTCAAAAAGTTCAAAGGGCCCACGGTGAGTTTTTAGTGTTTATTGGGTTGGACCTTTCGAGCAATGAGTCCTTTTTTAAAAAATATTATTACTTTTGTACATTCTGTAATTCTTTTTATATAGTTTCGCTTTCCTCGTAGGCCTTCCCTCGTGGGTCACGAAAGCTTTGTGTAGTTAAAATAAGCTATTTTACATTTGCACCATGTAGAGCGGCACAGTATTGTTGTTATACCTAAATTATTATTATTATTATCATTATTATTTATAATAAATGAAAATCTAAATTATTGACCCGATGTGACACCTGCTGCACTGCCCCTTCCCCTTTCACGAGGGCGTTGCCCCCGTGCCTTAATCACGCACACTGCATTGGGAAGTGGGTGTCGGACATGCTAATGTCGACGGCGGCCGAACCCCGACGTCGCGCTGCCCATCCTGGAACATTACCGTCTTCACACTCGGACTACGGCCGTTGCCCTAATATACCCCCTGCCTCTCTGCATAAAGGTCGTTACCCTTTCTGAAAAGGTTCGTTAAAGTAAGTGTAGGAAAAACCTATTGTTTTTGTTATTTTTTTTAATATTATTTTTACAGTCGTATACTATTTACAATCAGCTATCAACTCACTCACTGGAGTTACTGAACAGGTACTTTGGGGACTCTTTTATCTTATTCTCAGGCACACACATACACACACACTCACACAACACTTGCACGCACAATGCGTCACTGAGGCAGATGCGCAGTTTACGATGGCGTTACTTCTCACAGTCTACACGGAAGAAAATAATATGCAAAACATCCTCAGGATAAATAATGATACGAAATTGGACTGCAGGGTCGGTAATAACAGCGGTAAAGGCGACGTGTCGCTGAGGGGCACAAGGTCACTGTCACACGAAACACTTGCGGAGTTCGCTCTTCACCACCAGCCGGAGGCGTAGGACGGGGAGGCCCAGCCGGAGCCCGAGGACGACTTCCACCCGGAGGACGGTGAGGACCAGCCGCCGGAGGACTTGTAGCCCGACGAGTAGGACGGGGACCAGCCGGACGACTTCCAGCCAGAGGAGCCCGACGACGGCCAGCCGCCGGAGGCGTACGACGAGGATGACGGCCAGCCGCCGGAGGAGTACGACGAGGACGACGGCCAGCCGGCAGAGCCCGAGGACCAGCCGGAGCCGGAGGACGGCCAGCCGGAGGACCAGCCCGAAGACTTGATCACAGGTGCGGACCAGCCGGAGGAGCCCGAGTTCCAGCCGGACGAGTACGACGGCGAGGACCAGCCGGACGACTTCCAGCCAGAGGACGGCCACCCGGAGGAGCCGCCCGAGCTCCAGCCGGACGAGTACGACGGCGAGGACCAGCCGGACGAGTATGACGGCGACGACCAGCCCGAGGACTTGATGATGGGCCCGGAGCTCCAGCCGCCCCCGGAGCTCTTCCAGCCGCCGCCCCCGGAACTCCAGCCGCCGCCCCCGGAGCTCCAGCCACCGCCCCCGGAGCTCCAGCCGGAGGCGTGGACGGCCGCCAGCGCCATCAGCACCACGCTCACCACGGTCTGCAACAAGAAGGGCGCGAGGCAGGTCGATCAGTCGGGTCCGTGACACGCACGTCGTGTTCGGGTTTGGGCCTCGAGAAGATTTGTCATTTTCCGGGGTAGTGTGAAAACTTCACCCGCGCCATTTTGTTTGAACAACTGAGGATATTGAACGTAGAAGTGCCATGATGACTGATTTCCCCCCCCCCCCCCCCCCCGCGCCATTTTGTTTGAACAACTGAGGATATTGAACGTAGAAGTGCCATGATGACTGATTTCCCCCCC